AGAAACTACTAGTAATAATAGCTAAATATAATATTTAAAGTATAACCTAATAACTTAATATACTAAAAGATCCTAAAATAAATAAAGAATATAAAGTATTAAAGGGATATAATATAAAATATTTAGAAGTTATAATATATAAGAATAAAATCTAAATACTATTAGCGTTATAAGATAAAGTTATATAAGATATATATAAATATTTAATATATAGATACTAAGGAATCTAAAAAATAATAAAATAGATTAAATAATAATATAACTTCTTATAGCTTAAGGAAGTAATATAATAAGTTATTAAAAAAATTTAAACTTTATATATAAAGTAAAGCTAAATAATATAAGCTATATAGAGAATTATAACTACTATTAGTATTAGAGAAACTATAGGATTTAATAGCTTTTAATTATATTATAAAGCTACTACCGTTAAAAGAACCTATAACTAACGTTAAGTATAATAGTATATTTATTATTACTAACTAATTAATAAAGTATAGATACTTCTTACTATATAAAAAAGTAAGTAATATAGAAGAGCTAGTATATATATTCTTATAAATAATTATTAGTAATTATAGACTATTAAATAAGATTATCTTTAATAAAGAAAGTATATTTATAGTTAAGTTTTAGTAAGCTCTTATAGTATAATTAGGGACGAAATATAAGCTTAGTATAGCTTATTACCTATAAATAGATAGATAAATAAAACGACTTAACTAAACGCTTAAATAATATTTATAATACTATATTAGTTATAAATAAAACGATTAAGTTAAATAGCTACTAATAGTATAACTAGCTTATAATAGCTTAGTTATAGAAATAACTAAGCTCTTACTAGTATACGCTAGCTATAAATATAACCTAGAAGTATTTAAGGTTACTTAATAAAGATTATAAGTAGAACGAGTAATACTATAAGTAGATTAGCTATAAAAGTTATATAAAGAAATATAATAAGAACTTTAATTTATTAAAGAATAAATATCTATTTACTATAATCGGAAAATATTATAGGGACTAATCTTTTAAGAGGGAGATATAGTCTACCTTATATAATAAAATATTAAAATAAAAAGACTAAGTAATAAATTAGATTTTAAAAAACTTAGACCGTTTAAGGTTAAGAAAACTATTTTAAAAGTTAACTATAAACTTATACTATTAATAATAATATAGATATACTCGATATTTTATATCTTATTATTAAAACTAGCGCTATAAAACGCTAAACTATAGGAAAAAATTAAAGTTAACGATAATTAAGAATATAAAATAGAATAAATACTAAATATAAGAAAATAAGGTTAGTAATAAGAATACCTTATTAAATAGAAAGGATATAGGCTAAAGGAAAATACCTAGGAACTACTTAAGTATTTAACCTATTATAGTTCCCTACTTTAATAGTTCTACTAAGCGAACCCTTACTTAGAAATATAAGGTTACTAAGAATAGTATCTTAGTTTAATATATCTAAAGTACTAAATAATTAAACCTCGCTAATGGTAATAGTTTCCTTATTTAATAAATAAACTAGTTTATTTTAAGAAGAACGCATTATACTATCTTCTTTATTAATAGCTTATATACCCCGCTAAAATAACTTACTACCTTAGTCCTTTAAGAAACGCTTTTATTTCCTAATCTAAGCTAGGCGAGCTATCGCTTCCTTTAATACTTCTTTTACTTTCTATTTATTTAAATTAATCTTTTACTATTAATTTATAATATAATAAACTAAAAAAGAAGGAATATTAGCGAAAAGAATAATAAAGAAGGAAAGGGATAAAATAAATAGGCAGACGCTATATTATAACTATTATAAGAACGGCCTATAAAGGTATATTTAAAATACCGATTAAAACGCTCGCCGACCTTATAAGTTAAGCCTAACTAAAAATAATAAGAGTAAGGTATAATTTTAATACTATAGATCTCGGTCTAGGATACTAGCTTTAATCGTTAACGCGATTTATTAGAATTATAAGAATAGGATTTTTAAATATAACTAAATATACTATTAGTAGTATATCCTAAAAAGATAAAGGAATAAGGAATAATATACTTATATATAACGCGATAAGGGTATATTTATATATAGCGGCTAAGGTAGTAGGTCTTAAGGGTAAGACTAAAAAGAAGGAAAGCATCCTATTATAACTATAGTCTAGTAAATAGCGGGGACTAGTATATATTATAAGGATATATAATATAGGGAGTAAGGAATATTAAATAAACTAATAGGCTAATTAAGTTTAGAGTAACGGGTTATTTTAGCGCTCTAACATTCTATAGCTAAGATCGTAGGATCGCTCTAGCGCTCTAGCGCTCCTAGGCTATAGGATTACCTAGTGCTCTCGGCGATCTAGGGAAGCTCTCGAAATATATAAGGAAGGAACGGAACACTCTTTTAGATAAATAGCTTAATAGCTTTTAATATAGATCTTTATTACGATTCTATCTCTAATTCTAATTACCTAGTTATAGTCTATAGTCTATAACCTCTAACTTATTACTAACGTAATATACTTATTATTACTTAAACTATACCCTATTATATCTACTAATATAAACCCCTTAATAGGTTTATCCCTTAGGAATAATACCGGTCGTTATATTATAACGGCGTATAAGTCTAGCGGGTTATAGGATCTAGTAGATTACTAGTAAATCCCTTATAAAGTATAGAGATAGAGCTAATATAAGAATCGTTCTTATTACGATAATTAAGGTAGTTCTTTATATTCTTAGTAGATTTCCTTTTACTAATAAAGTCGCCCGCTAGTCTCTCCTTATTATAGCGAGCGAATTAAGAGGTATACGTTATATAGCCTATATTTCCTCTTATATATATATATATAAGGGGGGGGGGGCGGCGCGGGCGTTTAAGGGGTACCGCTAAGTTAGCCTACCTAAAGTCTAATATACCTTAATACTAGTACTCTCTATAATACTAAGGTAGGTATATTTTAATAGTAATTAAAGCTATATTTTAACGTTATAATAGTCGATTATAGTATTTTCTAGCTATTTAAGCTGCTAGCTACTATATAGAGCTTTAAAATCTACGTCCTAATTAGCTATAGTAATAGTAGCCGGCTTAAGGATATACTTAAGCCGCTGCCTTATCTTAATAACTTAATTAATACGTATAAACTAGCTATTAAGATCCTATAAAATCTTTTTTTATTTTCGAAGCTATAAACGATATAATTAATACTTAAGCTATTATATTTAAAGCTAGGTAGCTATAAGCTATTAATTTTAATTGTTAAGGGCGCGGCTAACTTTATTAAAAAGTAGTCGGATTATATAGTTAACTTAACCGCGATTTTCTAGCCCTATAATAAGGCGGCGAACTTCTTATAATCGTTTAAGCGTTTTAAGGGCATTATTATTAGCTAAGGAGCTAATATTCTTCCTTTTTAATAACGTTAATAGCGTTAATAGCTATAGTAAGATAAAGCGGCTTAATAAGGGCTTTACTATATTAATTAGTTATAAACTAAACCCGCGCTAACCTCCCTTAATATTCTTTTCGGTTAAGCTAGCCTACTAAGCTTTATAGTAGATATAAAGGAAGGTAGCCTTATTAATTAGCGCTATATCGTCGAAAGATATAATTTTCTTAAGTTAACGTCGGTATATAGCTTTAATAGGTAAGAAAACTAAGATATTAAGTAGTTAAAGGATATATAAGGAGTATAATAATAGGAAAAGGAGATATATACTATTCTAGAAGTATTTATATATAAAATTATTAGTCTAATAACTCCTATAGCTATTAATAATAAGAAGAGTATTGCCCTACTTATAGTGCCTTATTTAAGGGATAAAAACCTACTTTAGCTATTAAATAGCGATAGTATTACTTATCTAGCCCTTTAAGGAGGTAATAAAGTCCTAATCTTATAGAAAATTAAGTTTATTAAGGAACTATTAATATTAAAGGTCTTAACCCTTAAAAGTTATAAGGGGAGTTAAGGCCTAGCCTATAATAAAGACATATTTAACTATTATAGTCTAATAACGCGATCCTAGCTACTTTTTAAGAGTCTCTTATATTTCTAAGCTCCCTAGTACTAGACTATTAAAGCCGAGGCCCTTAAGAATGCCCGTTTTATCTATATTAAAGCGGGACTCTAATAGGATTGCCTATATAGCCGGCAGCTTAAGTAATTAGAACTATTCCTTAATACGGGCTATAGAGGCGCCGTTAACGCGAGTAGAATTAAGAGATCTACCTTTAATAGTACTAATCTCTAGGTTCTAGGCTAAAAAGCCCGAAATCTATTACCTCCTAAGCAGACGGGTATCGCCGCCGGCCTTAACGATATAGCTAGTAAATTCCTTAACCTAATAATACGTTAGAGGTAGCCTAAGGGCGGCCTAGGTAAGAACCTAGTCGGTAAGGTATTTTTCCTACTCTAAGCTAAGCCTCTAATATACCTCTTTTACCTCCTTAATAGGTAGAGCCCCTTTAAGATATATATAGAGGGTCCCTCTTAAAATACCTTACTTTTAACTAGTATAAAGCTAAGGTATCCCGTTTTTAATAGCTTTAAGTGCTTCTTAGAGCTAGTTTTCGGTATACTTAGAAAGCCGAAGCATTGCTAATATAAATAGTATTTATTTTATAATTATAGGGCAAGAGATATACGAGAAAACGCGGTTGCAATATAATGTATTTAACGACGCGATAGTGTTTTAGAGAGTGCCGGTGTTAGGGTGGGCTAGTGTAAGTACGTATCTTAAAAATGGGGCCGTTGTACGAATAGCGATGTGTCTTTGTATAAATAGTAATACTCTAAATTAAAGGAAAGATACCGGCAACTAATAAATTAAAGGGTAGTAGGCGATAAATTAAAGGCCGGCATTTAGTAGGGGAAAATCGATGGCGGGGGTTTTTTTATCCTTTCTCCCCGGGGAGGAACCAGAAGAACCTTTTCGTTACTCGTTCCTCGTTCCTTAAGGCAAGGCACTAACGTTCCTCAAGGCAAGTCCTTTCGTTCCTCAAGGCACGCGTCGTCGGCCTTCTCTAACGTCTCCTGACAAAGTCGCAGAAATAAAGCCCCCATTTCCGGCTTATGTAGAGGAATCAGGCTAAACAACAGCGAGGCCGTGATACGCAACAGCGTCTCGCGGTCCACAGGCGCAGGGTAGTTCTTAGCCAGGAAGGTGAAAAAGTGTCGCTGAAGATGCTCGAGGAGGTTGCTGTCTGCTTGGTCTAGCAGCGGCTTTTGGTTGGTGATGATGTCGTCGACTCTGTCCGGGCTCTCGGCCAGAAACAAGACATGGTCGTAGCCGCAGAGTGATTGCAGGACCTTAGCCAGATCGTAGTTGACGTCTCCTTCGGGCGTTAAGGTATCTCCGAGCTGGCAGCGGACGTCAATAAAGCTGACCGTCTTTTGGCTATCCCTCAAGATGGCGTTGCTGAAGACAGGGTCGCCGTGGATTACATGCGCAAAGCCGCCTCGGTCCTCGGCTTCGTATCTATCAAGGAACTCACACAGCCGACTAAAGATAAGGGCGGCCCGAGGACCTAGCACGTTATATAGGGCTCGATATTCGCTATAACGTCTGCGGAGCTTAGACCCATAATTGGCGTAAATGTTGGGTCGCCGGTCAGCACTCGGCAAGGTATGCTTATTGAACCGTGATTCAAGTTCTGACGATATCCGCAGGCTGCGCTGGCTCGTTCCTTGGCTCGAGTGAATCGAGTGAAGAGCCTTGAGGAGGTGTTCAAAACGGCCGGTGGTGATAGAGCGGCCGACGAGAAGGTGTGAGAAGGTAAGTCCCCCGCAGTTTTCCATAGTGATAATATAGGTGCTGGTGGGGGGGAGAAAGTCGACGCTATAGATAGAAGGGAAATAAATCGCAACCTCAGGGGGCATATGGGAGTAGAAGAATAGTTCGCCGAGAATATGTTCTGTCTTGCTAGACTTGACGACCTTTCCGTCGAGGATCTGGATAGTGTTGAAATCGCGTGCTGCGACCATTGAATTTTTTATCTTTTGCTCCGTGGCAAGCTTAAACTCAAGCTCGGGCGCGGCCGGCGTGAGCGACGTCGGGCCATCAAGAAGCCAGCCGATTTCCCTCGTGGTATCAATGTTGGCATTGACGGCCAGGTCGTCGATATAGACATGCGCAAAAGGCTTGCCGAAGTTGATTTCGTGGAAAGGAATGCTATACCGGGCCAACTGCGCAAATGTGACGGCTCCGATGTCGGCAATAACGGATCCAACGTTTCCATTGTGGGTTCGCATGCGTCGAGCGGTTTGCTAAAACCAAGCCACTATATCAGCCCAACCGATTCTCTAGCGCATACGGCAATGAGGCCAGGGACTCACAATGATGATGTAGTGGCCGGCCTCGAACAGCTGCTGCAGGAGGCGAATGTTCTTGTCGATGGGTGGGCAGGTGGAATAGTCGCCGAGGACAGCCGGCACGCCTACCAGTGTCCCGTCGAGATCAAAGCAGAAGCGACGCCTCTGACTCTTGATAGGAAGCTTGCACTTTCCTATCTTGATATTCATAAGGAAATCCTGCAGCTGCTGGGGCGTGCCCACGCAAGTAAAATCGTCTTCCTGGATACCCACGCCGGCAAAGGGTGTCCCCTTTCTGATCATGTGCTGGACGAGCTTCGAGGTGTAGTATTCGCCAATTATCTGGTCGTCGGGATGGCGCATGTCTAGGACCTCGGCGGCTGCTGCTTTAAGCTGCAGGCCGCTCGGAAACACGTATGCGCCCGAGTTGGCCTTGTCCGAGATGGCCTTCTTCTCCTGGACATCGGTGATGTAGTCCAGGCCGTTCCTTGACGACGTTGCTGGTCAGTGACGGGCACTTCTCCTCAGTCGAACACAGGCGCGGCTTACCGAGGCTCTGTCTCGATGTAGGAAAAAACGGGCTTGTCTCCATGGTCTGGGAAGTAGAAGCAAGCGCCATGGCGGGGGGGCAAGTGCCTGACCTGGCTCAGGATATCGGCCCAGTAGACCGTGTCACAGTCTAGGGATACAGTCTTTCGCTGTAGATGCTCGCTTGTCATGGACTGACTAGCGATGTAAAGCTGCGAGAAAGCCAGCGTCAGTATTGGCATACGGATGCCGAGCCTCACGGCTTTGGGCTCACCGTTTCGCTGGCTCCCTTGGTTTGATGCCTTAGTCGCAGGATGCGATGGTTGATTCCAGGCAGCGTCTTCCTGACGAGCTGACCGAGGTGGAAATCGTCGTCGATCTCTTGGTTGACTGCGACCCACACGGTGTCGCCAGGCCTAAAATGCAGGTTCTCCAAGAGCCACACCAGCATCGGGCGGCCGACGAGATTGATGAGCGGCTTGGGGTATCGGAAGCCATGCTTCGCAAAGCGGGAGCCGATGCCACCGATGGGGATGACGATGTTGAGAGGTTGATCAGGGTCTTGGCAAGCCGCGGCTCCGTCGACGGGGACGTAAGCGTGAGGACTCATTTCGGGTGAAGCGAGCCGTCGAGGAGAAATGCCAGGGTGAAGTCGGAAGCGGGATAGCAATGGCGGCTGCGGATGGACTAGATGGGCTTAAGAAGAGCGACGACATATATAAGGCGAGAAGGCGAGCGCCATCTAATATCTTAGTACAGTACATACGTAACCCCTAGCCTCAAAGCAATAACGTCGGCATGATTCATTTTCATGGAATAGAATTCGCAAAATACCTGGCAACCATGGCGCACGAGCTTTGCTCCTCTTTGTATCTCCCGTTGGCCCCCGAAAGGAGTCCTCCAGGCTGAAACAGGGACTTGAGCAGGCTTCTCGAAGCGCTAGCATGCGCGTCATGACTCGGCAGCGCTACTGCATTTAAATGGAGATATAAATTACGTGAGTGCAAATACCTAGCTCTACCCCGTTTCAACCCTATGACTCGACGGCCCGAGAAAAGCTGAGCTTGACCTGCCTATTCGGGTTTGAGACTGTCAACATAAAGCAAGGGCTCGAGAGTTGTCACGAAAAAACAGTCGCCGCCTGTCAGATACAAGCGACAGCGTTAATTAACGTATATAGTATACGCGACACACCCCCTCAGGGAGGTCGGGTCAATTCGTCCCGGGATACCTAGATATCCTAGACCACAGAGGGAATTTTTATATAGGCAGGCCCCATGCTGATACCGCGCAATTGCTCCGGCGGGACTCGAACCTTGGGCCTTTCGGGTAGTGCGCGCCAGGCTAGCCAGAAGAAGTGCGTGCGCAGTCACCGGGAAGTTCCCGGAGGGGTAACCCCTCCGCCCGGGCTCATAACTGTCACGAAAAAACAGTGGCCGCCTATCAGATACAAGCGACAGCGTTAATTAACGCTGTCGGTATACGCGACAAGAGTCGAGGAAGGGGGTGGGAATGAGTATTGACCCTCATCTTTCCAAATTACTACCCAGAGAATATATTTGCCTTGACTTGGAAGTACCACCTGGGGTCCCCTGGTCCTGGCGTAACTTAACGGAGACAATAAAACGTAAAATACATGACTTGCATGTTGACTCTTAGTCTCTTACCCTTCGTTTTCAGCCTTGGCGAGAGGTTGATTCGCCAAGGGGCGGTGCAAGTGCCCTAGTGGGATACGCGGCATAGACATGGTGTATTACACACATGTAAGGGCCTCGGACCGGCATTGACGTCCAAACGCATGCGCTATACCCCCGAGGACATGGACCAGGAATGTCTGATTCTCGGTAACCTCGCAGGGCCGGACCCTTACTCGCGTTTGCTTATCGGCTGATGGATGGGTGGAGAGTTCCCATCGCCGCGGAATCGCCACTTGCTGGTGCTATGCCCAGAGGCATAAACCCTGGCAGCCAGTTATACATAACTCAACCAACCCCATTTTTTGCATATAACCCTTTCTGAGGAAAGGCTGAATGAAATCTTTCGACTCTCGACCACGCCTCTCAATTCCAGCCCGAGTCGTCATCTTCCCTCGCACAGGCTCCACCCAGAACCCCCCCCCCGCCGAAGGAGAGCAGGAGCCGGGCAACAAAGGCACGCAATGCCGTTGGGCGACTCGATCCCAGACGCCCTGGGCTGCAGGCGGTGGCTGCAGCTCACTCGCAACCCGGCCACCGCCGCCGCCCTCGGCCTGGTGACCATCCAGGTGGGCTTCGGGCTGGTGATGAAGGCGGCTCAGTCCGACGGCACCTACTCCTTCTCGCCCTCCGCCTCGGTCAGCATCTCAGAGCTGCTCAAGATGCTGCTGGCCGCCGCGCTATTCCATCGCGAGTGCCGGAAACGCCTGGCCGCCGGCATCGAGCCCGACGCCCACCCGCACTATCTTGCCCTGCCGCCGGCGTCGACGCCCGAGAAGCGGCCCGAGACTCCGTCGGTTGGTCTGCCGAGGCTCGGCCTTGCTGCCTTTTGGCGCCACTTCCTCAGCGAGGTGTCCGAGGAGGAGCGAAGCGGCTTCTACGTCCTCGCCCTATGCTACACGCTGATAAATAACTCGGTAAGGAGGAGCCGCGGATCCCGAGCCGCGACACGGCTAACGAATTGGCTGCCTAGATCTTCATCAGCTACATGCTGGCCGATCCGGGCACGATCCAGCTCGTCAAGAGCGGCAGCACCTTCATCACCGCCATAGTCATGGTTGCTGCCCTCAACACGCCCGTCTCCCAGGTCCAGTGGTTCGCCGTTATACTTCAGGTGCGTTCCCGCTATCGACTGACTTGCCTCGCCCCGGTTTGCCCCTAAGTAACTCCTCACCCGGCGAGCACACAGCCATTCGGCCTCATCCTCGCGCAGTACGAGCCCGAAACCGGCACCGCCTACTCCCTCGGCACGTACGCCATTCTTCTCCTGCAAGTGTTCCTCAGCGCCGCCTCCAGCGTCTACAATCAGCACATCTTGCAGGCCAATAAGACGAGTCTACATGCCAACAACATGGTGCTCTACGCGGCTGGCGTCTTCGTCAGCCTGATCTGCCACATCGTCATGAGGATCATCAAGACCGACGAGCCGGGTTTCTTCGAGGGATACGATAACATCGGCGCCATCATGGTAGTCGTGAGCAACGTCTTCATCGGCCTCGCCATAACGTCTGTCTACAAGTGTGAGCACTCCTCGAGGACAAGCGTGTGTGTGCCGCCAGCTGCTGACTTGCTCCGGAACAAGACGCCAATGCCGTTGTCAAGTGCATCGCCACGGCTGTCTCTTCAGGGCTGCTGCTCTACCTGTCGACGATCCTCTTCGGAACGACGCTGGGCACAATGGTTATCCCCGGCACCATCATCGTCGCCCTCTCTTCCTGGCTCTACCTGGCCAACCCCGCCGCCGCCACCCAGTCGAGGTCGAGGGCCGGCTCGGGGCGGGCTTCTTGTAAGGCCCTGGGCGTGTTCCTTAAGGTATGACTTGCACTCTCGTCTTTTCCATCGGGCCCCCGGTTCACCAAACTTAACTAGTTGGGCATGGCCCTCGCTGGTTGCTAACGACGTCTACAGAGGTATCGCGTCCCCTACCTTGCCGTGCTAACCTTCACGACGGTTCTCATTGTTGCCTTCTTAACCTTAATCCAGACTACAATGCCCGGTCTGACCCACGGAAACGGCCACCCAAATTTGTCGCACTCTGCACCGGCGACCGAGGGCACGGCCACTTCGCCATTTCGAAACACTCTGGCCGTGATCCGGTGGAACAGCGCGCATCCCGAGCGGATCCCACTCCTCATGAAGTACAAGCCCTTTTTCCGCTCGATGCACCTCTCGATACCGGATATAATGCCTAACGACAGTCCCGTCGCACGCAACAAGACTTACGACGGGTCCAACGAACCATTCACCATATACAGAGAGGTTGCCAACGTTATGAAGATGGCCCTCGCCGGGCAGCCTGAGGTCGACGGGCTAATGTACTTTCATTTCGACGCCTGGATCGATCCCATGCGGTGGAACAGCACGGATCGAGACGGCATCCTATTTGCGAGAACGGCGGATCCGCAGGGCCCCTTATTCCGCTGCATGAACGACATAAGCGCGTACGACTGGCAGGGCTGGCACGTCTTCGGCCGCATGGACATTGCCGCCGTCAAGGCCGTCCAGGCCGCCGCGGCGCTGGGCCTGGGCTACAAGACCGAGACGGACAAGTGGTGCGTGGGCTGGAGCGACATCTACTACGTGCCGCGCCGCCTGTTTGCCGACTTCATCGTCCTTGCCGAGACCTTTGCCGCCTTTGACGTGTTCCACGAGCTCGCCGTACCCACCATTGTCAACATAATTGCGCAGACACGCTCGAGCCCGGAGCGGTCTGCCTTGGCCTTTGTCGATGACTGCTGGGGCTCGTGCTGCGCTTCCAACCCAACGATTGAGGACGTTATCACGACTCGCTGCGGCCACCGCCTAGACTACTTGGATGAAAACGTGACAGGCGTCTTGTACGATAAGATAGATGGACAGGCGCGGGAGCTTCTCGTCGGCAGTTAATTCATCAATGGGCATGCTTCTCATCTTGCTAGGCCATTGCGTTGGATCTCGCAAGGTAGTAATTTGGAAAGGAAAGAGTCAACATGTTAATTGAGGTTCGTCTTGTCCCCTTTCTAGCTTGCGCATAGTATTGCTAGTTATTGGGTCTTTGCATTGAAGAAAGAGGGTGTGTGTTGCTCTTTTTCGCCTAAAAGAGGGAGTCCGTAGGTGTGACTATATATATGTATACGAAGTGCGGGGGGGTAGGTTTCCCTACTACCCGTTGGCAGGTTCCTTCGTAAGCCAACTAGGGGCCCCTACCCCTTAGTTGGGCACAAAATGTGTGGACAGCCCCAAAAGGTGTGGACACCTCTTTTGGTGTGGCCAAGCGGGCAAATACGCATAATTCATTCCATAGACGTCTAAATGCATTTCTACGACATATAGCGTATAGAGGTAATTATAACGATTAATATAAGCAATTAAAGATAATAAATGAGGTACGTTACAGAAAACAAGCTATAGAGGGATCATGTCCCTAGTAGCGTTAGCGGCGGCCATAAGCGTATAGGACTCGCGATTCCCTAGATTAGAGACTTAAGGACGTTTATAACGCGTTATTCATACGACTATAACGTAGACCCTATCGCGGAGGCTTTTAATACGGATACCGCACTCGTCTTCGTTCTAGACTTCTAATAGCCCGATGCCGTAGGTAGTAATAATCTTAGAGAGCCGCTTAAAGAAGTTCTTAACGTTATAAACGTCGCCTACCTTAAACGACTTCCTCGACCGCTTAATAGCCTTGATATATATAACCCGAAGCTCTAGGTGGTTATTCTTCTAGCGAGGATACTAGTTTTTTAATAGTGGCTAGCGGTTAGGATCGCGGCGATAAAGGAGCTTAAGAGCGGCAGTCTCGACCTACTGCTTGCTAGCTAGGAAGCCGCTTTTCTAGAGGTAGATAACGTATGCGACGAGAGCGTTATCTTCTTCGTTAGAAAGAACACTCGGCCGACTAGTGCGGCCTACGTAGCCACGATACCTCCGTATGGCCTTCTAAACCGTTGAGCTCGGCACCTTAAATATACGCGCTGCCTGACGCATAGAGACGGGCTTTGAGGGCGCCCCGCGAGTCTTGCGGCGCCGTCCTTGTTCGAGGGCATCATAAGATTTAACAACTAGCCTCGCCGCCCGGTCTACGGCGGTTAGGCTAGTTATAGCGTAATTACGACAGTCGAACTCTCCCTAAGCACCACGCGCGATCGCGTTTTAGTGAGAATACACACTAATTACGCGCTAGATATGGTAGTGGGGGCGTGTTTAGGTGTCCACACCTTTTAGGGCTGTCCATACATTTTGTGCCCAACTAAGGGGTAGGGGCCCCTAGTTGGCTTACGAAGGAACCTGCCAACGGGTAATCCGGCAGCTTACGGTTATCCGGATCCGTCAAGTGACTTCCTTAGCATCCCTTAGGTTAACTACCGCATTCGGTGCCTCCGGATGCGGCGATGGCATCGTCTCCGCTTATAGGGATAAGGGGCGCGCCTGTTGGTGCGTGTGGGTGTGAGCCCAACCTTCAATAGCTACATATTAGTCTGTGGCCTACTGGGACCCTTGTTGGGTCTCTGAGACCCTCGTTAGGTCGTCACACACCCCTCTAGGCGTTGCGGACTGCTGTAGAGACTGTAATGCCTGCTGGTTGCGTTGTTGATATGCCGTAGGCACCGCTTGTTACGGCCAGGCACATACGAGCCTTGACGGCTATAAAGATGTATTGGCACTATGAACGAAGACTCAAAGCTAAGGAGCAAGAAAGAAAGACTAGACTACACGACCGAGCTGGCCCTTATGTGCATATGCACGAGGTTACCTCAGCAGCGCTCAGGCCATTTTAAGAGGAGTCTAACCGTTTTTGGAAAAAGTCACGTTACCTGGAGTACTCCATTTGGTCGAGGAGTGCATGTGACTTACCGATTAGGTATAGTGCGCTTTGTCGCCTTCGCACGATCACCAAATGGCCTGAGCGCTGCTGAGGTAAGTTCTGCGCTGGTGTCTCTACGCTGGCGCGCAGGGTCGTGACACATACAAGGCTGAAATAGCAAATATTTGGCGAGTAGCTGGTCAAAGAGCTGGCCGTGCCGTCCGTCACAGCCGATTATAATGATTATAATAATGGGCAGTATAGATAGTAGTGGCTATCAGAGCAGGCGAGGGCCCTGGACACAGTTGGCGGGGGGGGTTGGTGGGCACTCGTGTGGTCCTTCTCCTTAAGACTGACTGCTCTTGTGAGAGTCAGCTTCGTGGGCAGCCGAGATAGAATCGTTATACCAACCAACGCGACTGGCGGCACCACCTTGTAAAGGAGGTTTTCCAACGTTACGACAAAGACGGCGCCTCAGGGCAGCTATTTCGAGCCGGCGACATATCTATGCCTCTTTTACAGCATAAACATGTTAACGGCAAGAAAAGTGCTAACTGCTTTGCTCGTCAGGACCTTAAAGAAGGGTTTCGACCAGTGATGTAGCCACCTATACACGGGAGGACTGTAGGGGCTTCTATCACAGTGGACTTTGCTAGTAAAATGCTCGTCGGGCCCAAGGTGCAGCGGGCGCACCCGCAGAGGGAGCTGGCGCGGCTGGCCGAAGCCATGGGGTGCCCTGTCGTGCTGCAGCCGGCTGCCAAGGGCTGCTTCCCCGAGGACCACTCCCAGTTCGCCGGCGTCTTCTGGGGCCAGGTCAGCACCCTCGCCGCCGATGCCATTGTCAACTGGGCCGATGTGACTTCCTGTCCACACTGGCAGGCGCCGTCGGCTGAAACAACAGCACTATGGTCGAGTATAACCGGCTCCGTCCGGATCCTACCGCGGGCCACAGCTCCTGCGGCGGTGACAAGTTGACGAGGAAGAGCGTGAGCTAGCAGACTCAGGCGCTCCTCTCTGCCACGACGACCGTCTTTGTCGACACGGGCGACTCGTGGTTCAATGGCAGCCAACTGCGCCTGCCGCGCGGCCCCGAGTTTGAGATTGAGATGCAATGGGGCCATATTGGATGGTCAATCCCTGCTTCGTTTGGATACGCCCTTAGCAAGCCGCATAAGAGAACCATCGTCCTTATAGGTGACGGGGCCTTCTAGGTGACCGCCTAGGAAGTTTCGCAGATGGTGCGCCACCGTGTTCCCGTCATTATTCTGTTTATGAGCAATAGAGGCTACACTATCGAGGTCGAGATCCACGATGGCCTCTATAACTGCATTTAGAATTGGGACTATACAGCCCTAGTTAAGGCATTCGCTTGCTACGAGGAAGACCACGTCCTTAGACTTAAAGCCCACACCGTCCGCCAGTTTCCGCAGCCCTTAAGAGGGCCATGGCGCATATTAACGGGCCAGTGCTTATTGAGTGCAGCATCCCTTAAGACGACTATAGTAGGGACTTGATTACGTGGGGGCATCTTATTGCTATAGCCAATTCCCATGCACAGGTTACGGCTTAGTGGTTTCTAGCAAACAATGTAAACTTTTGTTATTTAAAGAGAAAAAGGTTGCTAAGATATATCTTATAGGCTGCCTATAGTAATAGTCGCCTACGCCGTAGAGAGACTCGGGCAGGAACATTTGATTATACATACGCTCGAGTGTTCCTTGCCCGTCTATAGACGATTAAACCTATATCGCCTGCATACTTGGATGCGGCATTGCCGATACTCGTAGATATATTCGCGGAGCGTGTTTCGGCACTCTTCACACTTAAATATGCCCCGCGCCCCCGCCACCTCTCGTGGTTGCACTCGTAGTTATGCATTAAATAATCGGCCACCTCTTATATGCGACGGGCTCTTCCTTCGGCGTCGAGTATAGCATCGCCATCTCGGTCAACGACTGCTTCGGCTCTGGCAAGGAGACGGTGTTCGTCCCACTGTCGACAGCAACACGTCTTCCAACGGCTACCACAAAGGTAGCAGAACTCGGCGCCACATATAGGCTGCCTCGATTAGCACAGACACGGAGACACGATAGATGTCGAACGTACTTATATAATTGCACCCATAATCTAGGTCGATAAGCCTCCCGCAAGAGTAGCAACGCTGCCATTTATTTTCTATAGCGACCCGAAGTAGCTCTTAGATGGCAGAATCCTGCGGATAGTCGCCTCGATGCGAGGCCTGTTTATAAATCGTGCGCGTCGTTCTCGCGCATCGTACACACGAGGCCACGTCGCCCTTAATGAACTGAATAGGCATAAAGGCAGAGCACGTTGGCTCGTGGCAGTAAGTCCTATTAGGTGTCTCGAGTTCGACCTTTTTTGCCTTAAACTCGCTAACTAACTTAGGAGGCAGAAAGACTCGATTTAGCTCGACCGGAATCGGCGGCTTATAGCAGCGTGGCGGAAAGAGCGATTCGTCCCGCAGAGAAGCCTCAAACAGACTGGCGATGCACGCACGACAGTACTCGTGCTTGCAGGGGCATCAGGCCACGTCGTAGAAAACGTGCCGGTCGCCGCAGCTCGTGCAGACGGCCGTGGGCTGCGGCGTCTTCGGCTTTGGTCGGCTGGCGGCCCAGGATGACGATTCAGCTTGATCAAGCTCGTCATCGTCGGCGCAACCGACGTAGAGGGCCTAGAGTTTACGCAAAAGTTCATCGCCAGCCTCATCGACCTGAGAATTGGATTCTGTCGCTTCGACTCCGTCGTCCGAGGTCTTTGCCCTTCGGCGAGAGTCTAAATTGAGAGCAAACTGGCGGTCTTGAGCTGCCCGGCTCTCCGCAAGCTGCTCCTCGTGTATGGCATTCCCATCAGTGCCGACGGCTCGAGCGATGCTCAAGGACATGCGTCGATCTATGACGAAGGATTCGAGTGATTCTAGTTCCGATATATATGCTTTGATTGCTAGTTCCGAGTCAGGAACTTCTCCTTGAAGATATTTGCCCTTAGATGTGCCTATCAAGCTCTCTAGGTCCAGCTTCAGGAGCTCAATCGCCAGACCAATCGAATCGGTGTCGAGACCCGAAAAATCCATGTCGGCCAAGGTACAAGAGAATCTGCAGTAAAGTCGAGTTCAATTGTCTCCCGGTGGTTGCTGGTCCCTGTCGATCCTTTCCGTCTCAATCGCAAATTTGATCACCGCACGAACCGCCTGCATGTCTGGCTTCCATTTATCGCCGTCCGACGCAGCTTTCCCTCCTAAAAAGAACGACAAATTCCTAATTTAACTCTCGAGCATTTAAATAAGACTTCTCATTGCGCGACCTACTTTTTACATCGAAAGAGAAAGTGCTCAATTGTCTCTGCTGCCTAGCCACAATCACATAAATCCGAATTTATTGCTCCTATTATATAAAGGTACCTATTCAGTCGCGTCATGCCGGTGCGAAGCTGAACAATAACGTCGGATTCTTACCTTATCAGAGAATCGTAAAGTGCACGAGTGTGCTTCCCTGATAACGCCTTATCGATACGCTTTGAGTATTTTCTAACTCCTTCCGGAAGCCGTCCATACTATCGCTATTAGGCGAGCACCGAACGAAGCGTGGTGGGCCTTGCTTGGTATAATGGCTTCTCTGCCACGGAGCCTGCCTCGGTTGCTTTCTGCGCTGCTACCTTAGCGACTGATCCCTATGCGAACCCTACGTGCTTAGCTAGTGCCTAGACGAGTTTTATAGAATAGCCGCGCCTTATAAGACGATTAGCGTGGTCGTATATCTAGCGAATAGTATATTAACTAGATTGCCTCCGAGGACGCTTAATTACTTTTAGGGCTAAGCGATTGCTTACTATAACTGTTACCTCTTAATAAGGTAGGCCGGCTAGCGTATATATTAGCGCTATTGCTATTATTATTAGTTTTATTATATATAGGTTCTACTTATTTATAGGCTTAAGAGATATAGAATAGCTAGTAAGAACCTTACTTAAGTAGTTACGATTAACGTTATATACTATACTTTTTATTTCTACTATACTATCCTTTTATAAGCTAGATATTATTATTATAATTCCCTTAGTATTATTTACTACCTTAATAGCCTTTATTATATTATCCTTTACTACTACTAAGATATAGCTTATTTATTATTATAAAGTAAGTAAAGGTATATATAAGTACTATTTATAGGATAATATTAATAAGCTATATAAAGCTCTTTTATACGCGGCTAGCCTATATATATATATATAAGATCTAGCCCTTTATATATAACTATATAGCTTAGGCTATAGCCTAAGCCTATAACTTATAATAGTTAAAGACTCTTATATAATACCTTCCCTTAAGCGCGGCGTAGCGCTACTTTATTAATAGCTTTTATACTATTAAGCTTATACCGCTAGCTCTACCCTACCCTTTCCTATTAATTATACTAGCCCTACTAGCCTATTATTCCCGCGCCTATTAGCTTAGGTAGCTAGAACCTAGCTTTATAGTTATTAGCCGGCTAGCTATTTAAATATGAGTATAACTTATTATATACGCCCCTAAGTAGCTAGCGGCCGGCCTAGACCTACGTAAGCCTTAGGTTGCCCGTCCCCTTAGCTTTAAGTAGCCTCCTTTACTAAGGGGTATATAAAGCGGCATTCCCTTTTTCCTTCTTCCCTTCCTTCTTTTCTTTCTTTAACTATAGTAATAGTAATAATAAGTTAGTTCCGCTTTACTTAAAGCATTAGTTTATTCCTAGCTATATAGGCCGCTCTATTAATATATACTTATAATAATAGCTATAGTAGTAATAATAGCCCTAATAATAATAATAACTTTAACTAATAAGTTCCCTACCTTATAAAGCGGGAGGCTATAATCTATAATACTAACTCCTATAATAAATATATCTACCTCCCCCTCCTTTATTTCCTCTTTCTTAAAGCGTATAAAGTCGTTTATCGATACTATACTAGGTATAGCCGACGATAGCTCCGCCGCTGCCGCTACTCCTACCCGCGCCCCCGCGACTACGCCTACCACCGCCGCCTCTACCTCTACTACGCTAGCCGCCCTTATATCGCCCTTTTAAGTAATAACGCCGTCCCTGCTGCCGCCTATAACGCCTAGCCCCTCTACCCCTACCTCCGCCTCTACTACCCCTATAAGTCCGCTACCTAGTAAGTATAGTAGCTATTTTCTACTAACTTCTTAAAGTATAAGCGCTAAGTATAAGCTAGAGCCGCCCGCGCGGCCCCTTATATATAGTATATATTATAGGAGCTCCCTTACGCTAACTAAGTTAAGCGCTACTATTATTACGAAAAAGATATAGCCGCTTATTAAATATAAGTAATAGCGTCAATTAATATATATAGAGTATACGATATACCCCCTTAGGGATACTAGGTTAATTCGTCCTAGGATACCTAGATATCCTAGACTATAGAGGGAATTTTTATATAAGTAGGCCCTATACTAATACCGCGTAATTACTTTAGCGGGACTTAAACCTCGGGCCTTTTAGGTAGTACGCGCTAGGCTAGCTAGAAGAAGTATATATATAGTTACCGGGAAGTTCCTAGAGGGGTAACCCCTCCGCCCGGGCTTATAACTATTACGAAAAAGATATAGCCGCTTATTAGATATAAGCGATAGCGTTAATTAACGTATATAGAGTATACGATATACCCCCTTAGGGATACTAGGTTAATTTATCCTAGGATACCTAGATATCCTAGACTATAAAAGGAATTTTTATATAGGTAGGCCCTATATTAATACCGCGTAATTACTCTAGCAGGACTTAAACCTCGGGCCTTTTAGGTAGTACGTACTAGGCTAGCTAGAAGAAGTATATATATAGTTACCGGGAAGTTCCTAGAGGGGTAACCCCTCCGCCCGGGCTTATAACTATTACGAAAAAGATATAGCCGCCTATTAAATATAAGCGATAGCGTTAATTAATATATATAGAGTACGCGATAACTATAGCGGTAGTTATTACTAGTACGCGCGTACTAGCCGCGCTTATAAAGCAGCGCCTCTTATCTTACTTACTACGGCGTTAGCTTAGAAGGCTAGCGCGTATAGGTAGGTATAGGGGGCTACTAAGAAGCGCCTTACCGCCGCTACCGCCGCTTACTATAATCTCCGCGCTTTTAAGCGCTAAGGCCTTATCCCTAAGTAAGTTCCTCTCCTTTAGCTCTTTTACTTCCGCTACTAACTCCCTTAGTACTAGGGATACTACCTTTATCGCCCTATCGGCGGTCCTCTTAGCTATGCCCGCCGCCGCCCTTACCGCTACTACTAACCGGGCCCCCCTTACCCTTAGAGCCCCTAGAGCCGCCGTTACCGCTAACTAGCTCGCGGGCTTAGAGGGCCGCCTAAGCACCTTAAAGAGCGCCGCCGCCGCTAATAAGGTAAAGGAGGATAATAAGGATAAGAAGAATAATAATAATAAGAATAAGGAGTATTATAAGCTACGCCCGTAAAAGGCTAAGGTTATACTATAGCGACCGTACTAAAGTCGGGCTAAAGTAGACCTATATATAAGTAGAGCTTAACCTAAACTTAGGCCGAATAGTACTTAAATATAGGTCGAGCTAGGGACTAAGGAAGATAGATAACTATTATAACTAAGATAGAGTTTTCCTCCTTTCTCCTTAGCTTTAGATAAATAATTATTTAGCCCTATACTACTATACTAAGTATATACCGGCCCTTAATATATCTAAAGCTCTTTTTAGATAAGGCTATAAAGCTTAAAGAGAGATTAAACTAAAAGGATATAATATAGATATCTTAATAACTTAAAGGAGGGAGAATAAGCCTAAGGACGGTAAGGAGTAGTAATAGGGGGGCTAAACGCCTAGCTAATAATAGAGTAAGCGATACTCTCGCTATAGGTAGGAGAGGTAGAGATAAGGTATTAAGTAATATAGAGCTAACTATAAATATAGGAACTAATTAGCTAAATTAAGAGTATATACTAAAGGATAGATAAACGAATATAAATAGGTATATAGGAGGGGGCTAGGGGCGGGGTAAGTAGTTTAATACCGCTCTTAAAGGCGACGGGGGGGGCAGCGACGCCTATAATTAAAGGGGAGGTAGTAAGGAAGAATAGCTATAGGAAGCTTCTTCTAAGCCTAGGAAAATTTAACGGATAACGACGGTACTATACCCTATAAGTATAATATATATAAGAGAAGTATTAGATTAATAAAGAATTCTTTTTAAGCTTAAAGGAAATCTTCTACCTTATCTATAACTACTTAAACGCTAGGCTATAATAAACGGTCGCTATATACTATAAAATAAGGGTAAAGAGGGGCTATAATTAAAAGGAATTCCTAAAGTACCTTAACTTAATCTACCTTAATATAGATACTTAGTTACGTATAGTAGCGGCGATCTAAATAATAAAATAAGGGGAAAGTTAGACGTTTATAGCGTTCCTCTTAAAGTTTAAGTAGAGACTCTTTAAGGCTAAAGGCGGGTCCTAGCTATACGATGTTTAGATCGTCTTCTTAAAAGGGGCTCTAGGAATCCGGCTCCGTAAGGTATTAGCTATAGTCGACCCCCTTATATTAAGCTTCGCCGCCTATACTAATTAAGTAGCGTAAATAGCGGCTAAGCTAAAGAGGGTCTAGTAAATAAAATAACCCCCTTTAAACTAAAGGAGACTAGTAGATATATACCCTTAGGAAAGGAAGGATAAAGATAGAGATACCTTAATAACTAGTATTAACGCCCTAGATAAATAAAGGGAGGGGTAGAGCTAGCTAGAGAATTAGATATACTTTAACTATAGAGTTAGAGGATATATCGCGCTTTATTATAAGAAGAGGAGATAAGAACCTTAGAGGGTAGGCGTAATAAAGGAAGAAAGGGACGCCGAGGATAATAACGACTTAAAAAAAAGGGAACCTTAGCGTAAAGTTAGGCGCTAAGGGTAAAAGAGAAATAGTAAGAAGCTTAAAAGTTAACGAGGGACTATCTTATACTAAGCTTAGTAACGCTAAGGGTAAGTATTAATAGGAAGAAGGGACTTAACGCGCTTATAAATACTAGCTATAATTACTATACTATAGTAAGTAAGA